GTGGGGACCAGGTTTGCTGGTCCGATAGAGCCTGGTCAAACCACTGAGACTATGGCCCCTAGCTGCTCTTCAGGTCTATAATTGAACCGACACCTGTGGTTTCCAACCAAACAAAATACAGGCATGTAAGTTAAACATTTACCTCAAGTAGATACATGCCTTGTAGAGAACAATCATGGGAGACGGAAGGGCTCCTTATGCACAGGGAGACACTCAGGGGGCAGGAATGCATGGAGGGATGGACACTGGGAAGAGGTAACTATGGGGAGGAAGTAGGACGGGAGCTTTTGCATTGTGGTAAACTGTGGTCAATGACATGAGACAAAGTATATGTGAACTGCTGTATGGAAAATGAATTTGCTCTGTTAATCTTCACCCAAATCACAATTTAAAAAAAGAAAAAGCCTTAATCTGCTTTTTCAACCAGTCATTAAAAAATTAAAAGTGGTAGTGGTGTGTGGTGTATGAGTGTGTATGTATGGGGTGTGGCAGGTGGGGGCAGGGTGTCTCATTAATAAACATCCAAATTATTTTAACCAATATCCCCACTTACCTTAACCAGGAAGCATTACTGATATACACTAACAAACCTCCCATTATAAGTAAAAGTATTAAAACTAATATCTATAAAACATAGCTTAGATCTACTAGAGTATTATTAGAAGAAACCTCTAACAGAAGAGTTATCGTGAAATTGTGATAAAGTATTATGAGTGTGTGAAAAAGAAAAAATACATAGGAATAGAGATCCATTTAGCAAACAATTTTATTATCTAAAATTTCTGAACCTACAATATAATATGTTTGTGCATTCTTAAGAAAAAGCGTGTTTAAGATTAAGTATGAATGTCTGTTTTAATTTCTTGAAATCTATGTTGTGCATATTCCAAATCCACCATCACTGAGTCGATTCCAACTCTTAGCAACCCCATGGGTTTTCCAAGGCTGCAAATTTTTATGGAAGCAGACTGCCTTATTTTTCTCACACAGGGTGGGTGGTAAGTTCAAACTGTCACCATTTTGGTTAGCAGCCAAATGCCTTAGCCATGGCACAACCAGAGCTCCTTTGCTGTGGCTATACAACAAAAAAACCAAACTCACTGCCGTCAAGTCAGATCCAACTCATAGTGACCCCTCCTTAGGTTTCTGAGACAGTATCACTATGGAAGTAGATTGCCCAATCTTATGTTGTTGTTGTTGTT